GTTGTTGCTTATTTGTGTCTCATTTTAGTGTTTCGGGCAGACTGGAGAGTGGCATTGACGGTTAGGACCTGTAAGCGTTTGAGTCATGGCGATTGAAAGTACCAAGAGAGCTGTAGACAGAGATGAAAGTGGCCGGAATGTGAGAGCTAAACGCACAGCAAAACCACCGGCTGTGATAATCGTTACCAATATGGAGCCGATGAAGTTAGAAATCTGTTGGACGCAGAGAAAAATAAGGGATTTTCGGACTGCGAAGCTGTTCCAGTTTTTGCACCATTCAGAGCGTTTATCATCAATCAATGTGTCATTAGTGGAGGAATACATTGAGAATTACGACCCCGAGGATGGATCGAGTGTCGTTCAAGGGCGAATTATTGGGATTGATGAAACAATCCTGGAAAAGGTGTTGTTTCTTCCCATTGGAGAGATGGCAGTTGGGACTGATGAGTCAGGCGATTTCAGCCCAGGTAGATATTTCAAGGGAGGAATGTCATCCTTTGAAAGGAGCCAAGGATGGCGGACTCAGGAGGCGATTACACCAGAATATGTGAAATGGTTGCGGTTCGTGCTGAGGCGGTTAGGATTGTACCGACACCCCACATATGTGTCAAAACGATTATTGTATGCAGCAGTAGGGGCGTTTGAGGGGATGGTGTTCAACTGGGCGGCTTACGTAGCTACTCGTATTCATGCGGAGATAGGAGCCAAGTTCAAATTGGGGAAGTTCACATCCTTGCTTTGTTCAAATTATGTGTATGCTGTCATCGCGCACACATTGCGTCAACCACCGTCAGAAGAGGAAAACCCTATACCAGTGTCAGCACCTTTGCAGAGAGAACGAAATTTGTTGGCACAGAATCACAATGTAGGGGATGTACTACACGAAATTGGAGAATCAAGTCGTACAGTGGTTCAAGGGGTAGCTCCGGTTATCGAAGCGAGACGGGTTCCAAGTGGTCTTGCGGTGGAAGAGGAGAATCAAGTCCCATTATTGATAGATATCAACCAGTTGGCGTTTCCAGAGGGTCGATTCCCTGAAGGAGTATCTCTTAAAAATGCCGTATTGAAGCACATTTCGCAAATACATTGTATGGTACGAGCATTGGATGTCGAAGACAGAAGTATACGGGATTGGGAGGACAGTAAAAAAAGGATATCGGATCAAAATCAAAAAAATCAGGGAGCAAGAACTGAGGATTCAAGAAATTGAAGAAGTCAAGTTGGTCCTGGAGCGGAAATTGGTTCTCCAATATGAGGCTTAGACAAAGGAAAAAGAACAGATTTCACGGATTGTGGAAGGACAACGGGACGAATTGATTCAGAATAGGAAGTCATGGGATTTGGAACGGGAGAAGTTCAAATGCCAGTTGCAAGCGGAAGTGGACAAGACAGAGTTATTGGCGACAGAGAAAGCGTTATTGTGTGACCAATTGAGATGTGAAACGGGGAAAATGAGGTCTGAAATTGAAGTTTTATAAAATGAGGTGTCAAAACTGACGGAAGAGTTTACTGTGAGGAGCCAATCTCAAGTGTTGATTAAAGATGTCCCAGAAGGGATGAGTTCGCAGCAACATCAGTTGGAACTTCGCGATGCCCAGATCCTGAAACTGGAAGCTCAGATCCGTGAATTGGGAGAATACAATGAAGATCTTTCAGCCCAGTTGAGAAAGGAGTCGCTTGAAATATTGGAAGAGGATGAAGACGTACCACTAGAGCCAGAATCGGTGGAACCAATAATGGATAATGTAGTAATTGATCAATTGGATATATCAAATAAATAGAAATTTTGGAGAAGTTTTTTTTTTTAGTTATGTATCGGTTCTATGTTTGCGAGGACGCTGCACAGATGGGAGTGGGGCTATGTAGAATAAGTAGTTATTTGTTGAATTGTAGATACTTAGTTCATAGTGTAAACAGGGATAGATGACTGTTGAAAAGGTAGTTTAGTAGGTAAAATGGATGAATAGTTAGGAAAAGCAGTTTTCATTAGAGATGTAGCAGTTGGTATCTCGTGGTAGCATAAGGAGGATGGGAGAGAGGAAGTAGGGGCCATTACTGTGATAGTGTGAGCCGGGGTAAGCTTGGTGCTACCTCTTTTCTTTTGTTGTTATGTTCTTTGAAATAAGAGTATTGAGAGTTTCTGAATATTGTGAAGTGAATCATGGAATGAAAGTGTGAATGGAATTATATGTTATTGAATGAGAAGAAGAGAGATTGAATGCTGAAATCTGAATGTAGTTCAGCAGAGAGAATGAGTCTGTGTTTGTGTGAAACACTGTAATGTGAAGGCAGTTAATGGTGAAGAACTCCAAAATTTGGATTATAGTATGATTATGTCCTGTCATTTAGGATAGTGCGGGATTACATGTTGTTGTTATCAGTGATGGTGGAGTATTATTAGGAAGTGGAAAGCATTGTAGTGTTTCCTGGATGTTTTAAGTAGTGCGGAATACAGTTAATTGTGTGACCCTAACGTGTAAGCTCATGCGGTATTCTTTCCCTGTGTTCGAATTCCCCTATACAGGTTTACTCTGATTAGATAAGTTAGAGTAAGTAAAACGACAATCACAAACTCCATGTAGAACTCCTTCCTAAAAAGGGGGATAATGTCATGGATATATACCTACTGTAATCATTACTTCAGTAGATAGAATTAGATAAAAGTAGATTAATTTCATAATACCTTTTAGAAAAGCTTCTTAAAAGCTTTCTAGATGTTGTTTTGTCTTTACATATATTTACAATTGATTGGTAGGTTAGAAACTTGGTCAACAAGCTACTTATGTGCTACATGTATTGATAGCCTTATAAGTCAATATATATGTCATACCAAGTTAATACATTTTTGGAGGTCTTCTAGAATATCACCGCATAGATCTTAGATAGATAGTATATATAGAGGCAAGAGTGAAGTTTTCTTCACTCTTGTCAATTCCTTTCTTGCTTCTAGTCTAGATTGAAGAGTCTCTAGTTTCCTTATCTTTTAATAATAGCCATTCTAGTTTCCTTTAATATACATACTTTTTTATTTCCATTTTGTTATACTTATTTATTTACTTTCATCAAGTTCTTATCTCTGACTTATACTCATAAAAGTTAAAGAAATATAATGTATAGAGTAAAAAAAATGAAGCTACAATTCGTACTAATATTTATTACCTTTGAAACCTTATTATTTATAAACCATAATTTTTATTGTATTATTGAGGGAATTTTCTAAATTGTAACCTTGTAACAAATACATTCTTAAAATTTTCTTAGATTTAGCTCTCTAACATAACCTCTAACCTCTCAAAATAATCTGTAATTATAACATGTCTTTGTTTTTGTGCTTGAAGGATAAAATTTAAATACTAATCAATAAACAATCATTTTTTGGATTATTATTATTATTATTATTATTATTATATTTTATGATAAATTTGGTAGGAACTTATCTTTTATTTTGACCTAAATGCAATTGCATTATTCTTCTATCCATTACACCTTATTTTGACTCATTTATGGCTCTATTAAAGAGATGGAAGTTTTTTAATACAAAAGATAAAATAAAATATAAACTTTGTAGTTAAGCTTAATTTATTAGCTTATAAGGCCTAAGAATACATTCATTAAATTTAAAATATTTAAATAAATATTATATATATAATCTTCTAAAAAAATTAAACTTATTATTGTTGTTTTATTTTTTTGTTTTTTTTGTTTTTTTGTTTTTTTGTTTTTTTTTTACAAAAAAAAAATAAAAAAAATATTCTACTTATTATCAAATAAAACTATACATCAATTAATATAGATAAATTTAATTTTACATTGCATAAGTAATTTAATGCATTTAATTTTTTTTTTTATCAAAAGTATAAATTGATAGATATCATTTGTATATATATATATATATATATATATATATAATTAATTAAAATAAAAAAGCATAAAATGAAACTTCATATTAATCAAAGTAGCATTTCAATATGTATATATATATATATATATATATATATGCATATTTTTAAATATAGATTTTAATCATGTTTTAAAATTAGTTTAGTTAGGACTATTTGGATTTATAAATAAATACGTAACTTATTAATAATTTTAGAAATTGAGAAAAATAGATCAATTAATATATGTTCTACAAAAAGAGTTATGTGTGTTTAAGGTTTTTATTCTGTTGTTTCAAAAATAATAAGAAAAATTGCCTTCCCCTTCACTTCTTCATCCATATTGACATCTGAACACAGTTATTAATTCTGCCAAGTAGGTGGAGACTGAAGGTGGAATTTAGATGTCAGTGCTACTCAAACATATCACATGTTCAAATTTTTCAGATGTAGGATTACACTGGAATAACGGCAATGCTCATTAATAATAATAGTAATAATATTAATACTAATAATATTAATACTAACATGAAAAAGAGATAGGGAGAAGAGAGTGAGAAATCCGACATCGTGGAAAGGGAGCTAATAGAGAATGAATAAATGAACGAATAAATATAACCGAAAATAAAGTTCATCGATACGGATGTGTGTCATCCGTGATGGTCAACAAACGGGTGGGTTACGAATACTCTTTCCTCCATTGTCACCATCATCCATCAGGATCATCATCATCATGCATGATAATTCATTCATAATCACACTCTCTCTCTCAATCTTTATGATGAGCATGCAACAAACCCTCCCGCTCGTCTTGTCTCCCTAGCCTTTAAAACCTCGCAACCCCTCACTCAGTCAGTCCTCTCTTCGCCCATTTCCAAGAAACTACAAGAAATTGATTAAAAGAAAGAAAGAATTAAATAAATGAATATACAGACAAATGTACAAAAATATGGACCATCTCTCGCTCTCTCTCTCTCTCTCTTTTTCTTCCTCCTCCTCCTTTTTCAAACTGTTAGTTGGAGTGAAGTGGTCATCGGGAATCTAGTGGACACCTAGATAGATCTGTGCTGGTAAGCCCCTGCCGGGAGAGAGTGCTTTCCTTTTTCGGTGCAAGAGACAAAAATAAGTGAGAGAGAGAGAGTGAATCGACATATGCCTCTTCGTTGCACAGGAAAACGAATCTTCTGTGTTTGAAGCTGTGGAAGCGTGTCGTAGGTCCAGAGCAGGGAACGGAAGAAAGTGCCTTGCATGGAGAGCTTCGATGAGTTTCTCCATACACCTATATACATTTATGATATGTATATATTGAGCAAGAGGGAGAGTGAAGACGATGATGCATCAATTCTCCTTGTTGTTGCGGAATCCAGCACCATCGACTACACTTTGAGTTCCATTTCAAGGGCGCTAGATGGTAGGTGTATTGAGCTATTACAACAACTGTTGATTCTCAAAGTAAAGAGCGTGTGTTTGGGACGAGGATAAGGGGGAGGGGAACTGGAGGGGAGCAGGAGGAAGAACAGAGCGGGAAACCGAGAGAGAGGGAGAGAGAGGGCGAGGGGGGAAGGAGGGAAGAGGAGGAACACACAGCCACACACAGGCGGCAGGAAGTAGGAGGAGGAGCAGGAGGAGAGGGGCCGTGCAATGTTCTTGTTCTTCTTCACGGCCCTGCTGCTGCTGCTGCTTGCAGCCCTGGAGTAGCTGAATGTGCAGAAGTGAGCGTCATGAATGCAATAACGATTGTTCTGTGTAGAATGCCGTACGCAACAACCTTGGAAGGTAGTCATCGTCGTAGCAGGAGGTTAAAATCTCGAGAGGGAGGTAGGTGTTTGAAGGCGAAATTGTTCGAGATTGACTGCGTGAGAGGTGTTGGGAATCGGTGTCGATGATTCTGGAGTGTTGAGGGGTTGCAGAGAGAGAGAGAGAGAGAGAGAGAGAGAGAGAGAGAGAGCGCGAGAGACGGAACAATGTTGTGAATTAGTGAATTGGCTACACCTTGAGGACCAGCCATCGGAAATGTTCCGTGTGATGATAGTAATTTGCGTGGACTATTGCGGGCTGAGACTGTTGCAGGCGAACGAGATGAGGTGGTCTCGAATTGCGAAGAGGCGATTAGTAAGCCTTGAGGAGAGTCGATTGATTGTGATCGTTTGGTAAGGATCGTGGGAGGCGATTTTATAGGCAAGGGAATTAGACTGGTGTGGTAAGGAGTGGAGGAATAATATTGAAACGGAGGTTGAGGGAGCGCGCGTGCGGTTCTGTTTCTCAAGGCTGAAATTATGGTGTGTCAACAATGACGTTACTTGGAAGTGAAGCGGCGACGAGATGGTCAGAATTATTATTGATGGAAGGGTGTTTCTTTTCAAATGTGTGGGAAATAAGTGGAATTATCTTCTAGTACTTATTTCGTGTGCAGATATTACAAGGATTTTTCCTGTGCAAGCCTCCGCGGTGTATGTTCCAGAAAATCTTCGATCATGGAGTTGCAGGATCCCGAAGCTGGAGAGGCTCCTCTGGCAGAAGTAATGGGTATCCAATTCGGTATTCTTTCTGCGAAAGACATCGTGAGTTCTATGTGGATGCAGTTTCCTGGATTCAGCGCCTTTGATTGTTCTGATTATTAGACTAATTTCTCTCCCAACAGCAGCTTTTTTTTTGCGGCACCTTGACATTATATATATATATATATATATATATATATATATACATATATTTTACTCTTTGAAAGTCCGTACGTATTTTCTCTGGTCATTTAGTTGAGTTGTAATTCTCCTGGGCTTTTTTTAAAAGATTAGGTTGCCACAGTTAACGATTGCCTTAGCTAACACCCTCTTATTTTCTAGTAATTCCTTGCCAATGTCTTAAATTTTTTTGCTGAATATTAGCACAGCCTCGTCGGAGAACTGAGACAATGCATCTCTTCTCTGGACAAGATGCACGTGTTGGATCTTTTATTTCATTGAGATTTTCGTTTTGTGTTGTTAAATCTGCGCACGTTTCGACGAGTTTGCAGGTTACATTGTCCGTGTTCGAGAGAGAGCACTCCATTATCACGGCCAAGGATCTATGGGACAGTCGCCTTGGGATATACAATCTTCCAGGGAATAATAATCACTGTCAAACTTGCGGAGCCAGAAAAGCCAGTGATTGCGATGGTATGCGAATCAAATATGTTCCGCCTAGTGATTCGTGAGGAAGAGAGGCTTGATACCGCCCGGAAACTCTTGGATGTTGTGGGATAATCAATTCCTGTCATTTCGGTTCAGTTCTGCAATGACTACTATGTAATACTCATCATACGGCGTTCAAAGGCTAATAATAATCTTGCATTGTTTTAGGACATTTTGGACACATCACTCTACCTATGCCGATCTACCACCCTCTTCATATATATTTCTTGAAGAAACTGCTGAATCAGATATGTCTCGTCTGCAAGAGATTCAAAGAAAAGGTATTTACTCTTACCTCTTACTTCAACAGCCCTCTTCAATGTCAACTTTATTTTTTACCGTATTAATAGATCGGTTGGTATGTAATATTTATTCGACAGTTTTTCATAAGTGGAATTTATTTCAAACTTCAAATGATAATTTTTAGACGAGGAATTCATCTGCCTCCGCTTTATATCTGCTGGAGGTTCAATGTCAGTGATCGCCGTCTTACAAAAATGTATTTGGGAAGTCACTAATTTTTTACAACATTGCTATGTATACACTACAGCTTCATCATTACATAGAACTATGCATATCTCTGAAGTTATCTTTGACAATTTTAGGAGTTCAAGAAAGGAACTTTTGAGGAACAAGCTACCTGGATGGAGATGAAGAGGCAGCTAAACATTTCTGAATTTTTGGACATAGCAAGTAACTGGGAAACAGATGCTACTAAGAAAGCTTATGTTTTGAAGACTAAGTGCAAAATTGAAGCATTGAACTCGCAAGCATTTGCCTTGAAGAGAAATTGGGCGCACATTTCCGAAAAGCTAACTAGAAAATCACAGTTACTTAATACTACAAGCTCGGAGATCCTAAGCACGCATGTAGCTTCATACATTGACTCCGCATATGCTGATTATTTGGTTGAGGAATTAGATTCAAGCGAGTCCTCCGATGATGGGAAGGCTTGCAAGTGGTGTGGAGTAAGTTGACTTCAAATTTCCTCTGAGTGCTTTTAAATGACTTTTTTATCCTTTTCATGATTTTAGTGACTTGCATTTGTGTTCATGACGTTTTTGCTTTATTACTTGAGACCAAGAAACACCTCTTCCTGACACTATCCAATTTGTTTGTAATTACATATATTTGAAGTCAATAAGCTTTGCACAATCTTAGTATGGTACCTTTCTCTTTCTTACATAGCAATCTGGTAGATTTCGTGAGAAATTCTAGATTGTGCCAAGTCTGTAGTCTATTTTTTTTTGCATAAATCATACATTGACTCCTATTCCTCCTGTTCCTACTGTATAGAAGAATTGATAAATCCATACTAGGTTTGTGTCTCAAGTTCAATGTGAACGTTGATGTTCATGTAACATTTGGCAGGCGAATATTAAGAATCCCAAAGATCGATACCCAAATCTAGTGGTTACTTTGTCCAAGATGAAAGACAATTCTTACGAGACTATTGAAATGAAAGCTTCTGTGAAGGAAGGAAAGCTACCTCTAGATTACTGGAATTTCGTTTGTGGAAATCCAGAACGAGTAAATAATACCAGGCCCCTTCTACCTTTCGAGGTACCTTCTATCCTTTTATCTGCCGGTTCCCACGAAACAGAAATAGGACTGTTTCGTTCTTAGGTTTGTATTTTTAAGTCCGCTCTGAAGTAGAACTGATAAATAAACTTACGTAAGCAAAGAGTGGACATATAGCACTGGTTCAATTCTACCCGATTCTTCACTGTGTACTTATTTCTGTATGATTTTCTCTATTTGTTCTTTATTTGGATTCAGGCCTACAATATACTACAATCTTTGTCGAAAAAGGTGATACAAAAACTGGGCATGGATGAGTACGTTGCACGGCCTGAGGCCCTTATTCTGCACTTCGTTCCTGTGCCACCCAGCGGATCGCGGATTACTGAGGTGGATTTTGGGTCGTCTTTGCCTAGAACTCACATGGTAGGTGGGCGCCGTTTCAGATTTGTTCAACTTTATCTCGGGACGGACGCGTAATTCAGAAGGATTCTTCACACTTGCTGATATCTTTTGTCATCATGTGTGCAACCTGTAGTGTTAAAAACTCTGCCTGGTTCTTTTGTAGCGCGTATATCGTTAAGTGTCCGATTGGATACGTGTCAGGCTGCATGTTAACTTTTGTAAATCTTACAAAGAGTATTTCGAGCAGTGAGTGATTTGTGAGGCTATCACAAATTTCTGTGTATCCAGGATAAGCAGCACAAGCTGCTGCAGCGACTCTCATTTGAAGTCAAGCGATTGCAAAGTTTAAGGACTGGCATGCCAGATTGGGCGACAACCAAGAACGAAGTCATGGAGCTACAGCTTTTAGCTTCCTCCTACCTCACAGGTAGTAAGGTATGAATGCCATAACTACATAATACTCTTCTGGACGTTGTAAATGGGTGATATTACATCTCAGGTATGTACGCTGATCATAATGGATTCCTTTGCTCACGTGAGATGCCCTTCTGCAGTGGGAGCATGGTCTGAATCCGAAGGCATATGATGCAGTCGTCAAAAGTGATGTTCAAAAATCGGACAGATACATGAAGGGGCATATTTTAGCAAAGACCAACAATTCCTCTGCACGAATGATAGTGGTTGGTGATCCCTCTATCAAGATCGAGGAGATATTACTGCCCGTTTTCTTGGTTGAGCAGCTGACTATTCCGGAGAAGGTCACGGCTTTTAATATTGAACGACTACAGCGATACGTTGACAATGGGCCTTATGCAGACTTGTATAAAACTGGTGCTGTGTTTCATGACAGGCCTGGAAGAGATCGAGTTCGACTTCATAGTAGATTGAAACGAATGGTTGTTGAAATTGGTGATACTGTCCACCGTCATATTAAAGACGGTGATTTGGTTATTGTGAACAGGCCACCATCGTTGACAAAGCATGCGATAATGGCTATGGAAGTACGTCTACATCATAGCTGTTCATTAGCCATCAACCCTCTGATATGTGCACCCTTCCAAGCGGATTTTGATGGTGATTGCATGCACCTATTCGTGCCTCAGACTTCTGAGGCGCATGCTGAAGCTCATGAACTGCTGAAAGTGTCGAACCAGTTGATAAACCCTCAAGGTGGTCAGTCAAATAGTGCCTTGACTGAGGATAGTCGGCTGGGTGCATACTTGATGACTAGCTCCTGCATATTTCTCAACAAGATGGAGGTGAGCCAACTTTCAACCTCAAGCCTGGTATCACTTCCTATCCCTGCCATATTAAAATCCCCCAATAAGAGGGAGCCACTTTGGACTGGTCAGCAGTTGTATAGCACAATATTACCTGAAGGAATTTGCTACAAAGTAACGGATAAGAAGTTTAGTACCGATGTTGAAAGAGGGATCTTAATAAGTAATGGTGAGCTTCTTGTCTGTAACGGAAATTCCAACTGGTTGGGCGATGCTTTTGACGCTCTTACAGCTGTCATCCATACGAGTCAGGGTCCAGCTGCAGCTCTTGTGTACCTTAATCGTGCTCAAGAGCTTGCAAATTTGTTCCTTAGAGATCGAGGTTTCAGTGTTGGGCTACAGGATTTTCAGCTATCGAGAGACCGAAGCCAGTTGTTGAGGAGGAGGCTCGAAGAAGTGAGTATAGGAAATAGAGAAGCCCTTTTTCGGACACTTCTTATGGACGAGCACGTGCAAAGGGAAGAGCTTAACAAGAATCCGGCAAGTAAGAGGGGTCTTACAGCTGAAACTGAGTGCATCAAAAGCAAAGGGTTATATCTTGGTGCTACGGGGATTGTCAAGCAGGTGGAAGCCTTGGATAAGGTTGCTGTCGATAGGTTTCAAACCAAATTCCGTGAAAGTACCAAACGTTTGGCAAAGGACTATTGTAAAAGGATGAACCCGCTACTAGTGATGATTAATGCAGGAAGCAAAGGATCAATGAGCAAGTTGGTGCAGCAAACAATAAGTGTTGGACTTCAGCTTTTTAAGGGAGAACATCTGCTTCCTTTGAATGTACCAGATTTTTGTCAAAAACAACTTACAGATGTATCGACTTTAAGAGCCACTGATTTTCTTCAATTTGAGAGAAGAGTACCTTCGGCAAATTTGTCTGGATATTGGGAATCCAGAGGAATTATAACCAGCTCGTATTTGGATGGTTTATCTCCACTCCAATTCTTCATACACACTTTATCATCACGGTATGGTATTATGCGCTCAAAAGTGGAGGAGCCCAACTTACTGCTAAAGCGTCTACTTTTGTTCTTGCGTAATCTGTATGTGGAATACGATGGCTCTGTTCGAAGCTTAGAGGGCCAACAAATCGTTCAATTTAAGTATGGAAGGTATATAGAAGGGCAAAGAGGTGCTATTACCACTTTGGAAGGGCCGAAAATTTGGTGTGAAGCAGGAGAACCTGTTGGCATATTGGCAGCTACCGCAATCACAGAGCCTGCATACCAGCTTAAGCTGGACTCACCACATAATGTTGGGGCAAAGGCAATTGGACCTTTGGATCTTATTAATGTAAGTGGTATACGGAACTCACTTTTTGCAAGTTGATATGCTTTGCGACATGCATATTTTGTGGAGTAGGTATTCATGACCACTGATCAAAGTAGCCTTAGCTCTCATCCACAATCTCGTGCAATTATGCTGTTTGTGCGATGCCTGCTTCCCATTTTCTTAATCCTTCATTTTAGATGTTTTGGTTTTGGTTTTTAAATGACGTAGAACATCAAAGACGTTGGCTCCTTCTCATGGTTATTGTGCTGTTTTGTTGGTCTTAGTGGTTGTGAAATGTGTTCTGACTTCGATCTTTCCTTAGAAGTGTCAATCTTAAAAAGAATGCAACCGAGTGTGAACTTTCCGGCCCCTCTTCCAAGTGAGGGGCACCACCTGAATCATCTCCTCACTGTTGCTCTCTTAAGGTGAAGGTCTTGAGAAGTCCCAAGATCACCTTGTTATATAGGCAAATTGAGCTTATGAATACCTTTCAATATCTCAATGACAGGAGACTTTGAGTCCAAGCAACCCTTTAAAACTTATAGACAGGCGTGTCCTCTTAAGATTTCCTCTTGCTCTGAAGAGTCGACGTCATGGCCAAGAGAACGGAGCCATGAGAATCCTTCAGCACCTGAAGCCTGTGAGTTTGAGTATGGTGGCGACAACCACTATGATAGAGTATGTGCCGTTCGTGAATTCTGTTCCTGGATTTCCTTATGTAGGATCTTGGTATAATAGGGTTTTTGCATCAATAAATACCAGTCGCTGTCCAGGTTTCTATCTTTCACGGCCCAAAGATTAATTCGTGTGATGTTCGTAGATGGATTTGGCTTTTATAAAAATATACTGAAAATATATAAATTTTCTGGTGTGTACTTTTTGCACGTGGTAGATACAGAAAAGCACAAACTGTAGTTGGAGAGCATGGAAGGAGTTCACCATGGGTCGGCCACATTCGTCTTGGTGTGGTAAGCATTTCTCCTACATTGAGTTTTTAGGAACTGATCTTAACAGTAGTCAATAGACGTTTCCATGTTGACTCTCTGAAGTCCGCGTCTCTATTAACCTGCAAAATTTAATATGGATCCTGTGTGATGGAACACGTACAGGTGAAGCTGAAAATTTACCAACTGTTAGTAGCGGATCTAGTAGGAAGCTTGGAGACGCAGTATACAAATTGCAAGTTCGCTTCCAGGTCTGTTTGTGGTATGGTTTGTTCGCACGAGACATGTGTGTGTGTCTGAGGGTATTGAACGATTCAATCAGAAAATTTTACAACCTGACATAGTTTGGGTCTGCATCACAGCCATAGCTGTCAGTTTGGATCATCTGGAGTCACTCAAGAGCAACCGAATCCATGCATTCATTTTTTCGTGGACGATTCGACGCTGGTGGCCACACTCGATGATAAGGAATATGACGAAGTCTTGTCAAATTCATTAGAAGTGATGAAGAATGTCATTTTACCAATCCTGCTGCGCACACCTATAAAAGGTGTATGATTGCCCTAGTACTCACAATGTAATTTTTGTAATGAGTATTATTATACATCGAACCAGTTCCTATGTTTGTGCTAGTTTTGTGAGGTAAATCCGACTTCGAATGGATGTTGAGGCACCGCCATTTAATTTTACAAGCTCAGACAGTGGAGGATCTTGTAATTAAAACACGTTAAATTTCCTGCAATTTCGAGGATGATGCGACATGGCCTTTAATTATATGTGGGTCTTTTGATTTGTCTGACAAGCAGGTGATGCGAGAATTGAATCAGTTAACTTGCTGTGGGAGGATATGGAGTGGAATCCTAGATGCACTAAGTATCTTTCTTCCAAAAAGCCGTGCAAAAATGGGACGGGAGAACTCGTCCTAGAGGTGACTGTCAAAAAGGAATGTTGCAAATCAAGAGGCAAGGCTTGGAAAATTGTCACAGAGTCCTGCTTACCTATAATGCAGCTATTAGATTGGCAACGGTGCACGCCTTATAGTATTCAGGAATTGAACCATGTGTTTGGGTTGGAGGCAGCAAAAGGAGTTCTACTGCAGGTATTAGCAGTATATTCTGCAACATAATACCAGAAGTCCATTTTGCATTTTTTAATAGATATATTCACTGTTTCAATTGCCACAGTATTAAGTCTGAGTTATAGTTGAACTTTTATTGAAGTTTCCACTCAAAGTTAACACATACTTGATCCAGAGGCTTGAGTTAGCAATCGCAGGAATGGGAAAACCTGTGAATCTGGAGCACTTGGAATTGATTGCAGATACCATGGTAACCTCGGGGAAGGTTAGCGGGGCATCCTTATCAGGTTACAAGGATCTATGCAAAACCATCTCTCGGTCCGCTCCATTCTCTACCGCAGCGTTCCTGGTTCGTGCTCTTTTATAATTTCCAGTTGCTTCTTTCATATTATCCACATGCGTAGGTGCACTCGCGACTTAGCGAAAATGCATAATTTATGTATTATGTACTGTTGAACGTATGCCTTAGTCAAAACTACCCCATGAGCATCGTAGGCAGCAGGAAGCTAGTGACAGCAGTCCTTGTTTCTGAATGAGTTTGACATGTCAGGCCATTTTACTAATGCATGTCTCCTACCATGATTGTGCCCTGATGTCAAGTTTTGTTTGATTTTGTGTGCTTAGTGATGTTTCGCCGATTGTTTTCCGTGAATATTAACGTACACTTAAGACGAGAATGCTCGTTATGCAACTATCCAGCACCATCGTAGTTTCTCACACCATGAAATCTACAGAATCCCAAGAACTCCTTTGTTGTGGCGGGTAGACATGGGATTAGCGAAACTATGGAAGGAGCTCTATCTTCAAGTGTCTGGGGAAAAGCTCCTTCTCTGGGTACTGGGTCAAATTTTGAATTTTTTTGGCAAGCTAAGGTATCGTCGTAGACTCTGTTTCAATTTTATTTTCACCTAATGTGCTTTTTATGTGCTTGGTCGGAGATTTTAGGTGGATATTTAAAGTTGATGGTTATTTCATTACTGTGTGAACAGAGAAGTATATTGAATGATATTCTTTGGGCTTCGGGGTTGCAGGCAAGGGAAAGGGAGGTGTGCAATATACGAGAGGGTTTTGATATACACGAGTATCTTGCAAAGCTAAATTCCTCAGCACTTAAACCATGTGAAGGTGTCCCGGTTCCTCAACATCATAATGAATCACAATGTGTTAGCACTACAATGATACAAGGTCATTGTGACATGGTAATGTCTCCTGACGATTTTAAACTAAAGCAGACCAATGATGAACTTGAAATACACTTGAGATCGAAGGAGGACTTTCCTCAGGTCGGCAATCATAATGGTGTCTTGAAACAACAGGCTAGTTCCCCGACACATATTTCTCATCCTCCTGTGACGGATCCGATTCGTACAGAAGGTGCTGTTACTTCTAGGAGTGAGGCATGTGAAGACAGCTCATCTTTTCATACACCGAATGAGACGTTAGAACTGACACGTCAAGATAGTTCTAATTCTAGTCCCTGTTCAAGTTTTCGAAAGGATCTGTTTCCTACACCAGTTTTGCACGATGATTCAGAGGGCGATGAAACGAGTGGCATTGTCTAACCTACTTCAATTGATGAAGTTGTGGTGAATTCATTTGCCACGAGATTTGCGTAACGGTTTCATCGGAAAAGTTAGGCTTGTTGTGCTCTATATCAAGGTTAGCTACTCCTTTGCTATGTCGAATTCTTGTATATCTCAGTGCCAACCTAGTCATGTTGTCATACTCGATGCATAATAAAATAGAAACAAATTTTGGACCTACTCAATCGATTTGTTCTCATCAGTTTGTCATAATGGAAAATATACCCTTCTTCTTGACCTACCTGGATGGTCTGTGGAGTTTTTTGTGTGGATGGTTAATGGCAGGTTGATCATCACCAGGATCACTTGAAGTCTCGCTGCTTCTTTGTGGTCCGCCACGATCGAATTGACCCTACGATAGGATCACAAATCAGTGTGAAATATGAGTGTGACACTTATGGTGGATTCTCCTGAGTTGAATGTATAAACTTCATGATTTCCACATAACTATGCTGTACAACTTGATAGTGACTTGACTCTTTGGAATGGAGAAATTAAAGGACGGTGGCTGTATTGAACCTAAAATGATTGATTTCAGGTAAAAGGAAGAGATCCCACGTGAAAATTAAGTTCAATTCAGCTCTTGACCAGTTTTACTTTATTTGTTCGCTACATGTTGGATCAAAACGCCTCGTTATTTCTCTCAAACAGTCGGATGTGGGCTTCGCTGTAGCTACAATTTAGTCATTCTGTTTCAATAGGAAACGAAGATCAGAGCATTTCCTTGTTTGCACTTGTTCTCCTGCCCAACTTTGATTGGTCGTTAGCTCTAAGCAATGAGTAAATAACTCATGGCTTTCATTGCGACGATCTAGATTATGATTTGCTGAATTGCTGATGCTTTGGAGATACTTTTGAGTGACGATTTTAAGCGTTTTGTGTGGAAACACCCTGCTATACAAGGTGACTGGATCCTACAAAAGTATGTTATTAGAATTATATGATTCTATACAGTGTAATTTTAGTCTCATCGGACATCTTGTGGCATGAGATTGGTTACCTTCGCAATGCCATTACTATTGGCTTAGTTATATGAGTATGCATGGCGTGTGCATGGAGATATTCATCAAGGTCAAGAATATCAGAACTCAAACATGGTATTAAGTTGATTCCTTTCTTAAAGAAATTTAATCCAGCAAATGTGAGTTGAAAATATAGTATGTTTGTTTAAAATATTCCTGCTATTCGCCATACAAAAAATTCAGTATATTTTCAATGAGTATGCAGTATGATACTCACGAAATATTTATATTGAATGAATAATCTAATATTGGGAAATGTTATTCTATTCAATAACCACAAATAATCATATAATTTTAACTCTAAAAATTAATTTTTATTATTATACAATTTCATAGAATATATTATTCAAATATGTTATGGAATATTGTTCACAGATTTAAAATATATATAAAAATATGTAAAAATATATATAAATATGTAAAAATATATATAAATATGTAAAAATATATATAAATATATATATATTATGGTTTTTTTCTGCATTAAAATAAAAATAATATTAAAAAAAATTGGAATTTTTTCTTTTTAGAGAGGCTATTAGCATCTTTAAAATCATAATAATTGTTACTTCTAAGAATTGTTATATATGTCAAGGATATAAAACACAACAAACCTTTGAAAAGAAAATTCATTAATGTTTCATTAAAGAAAGAAGAAAGTAAATAAAGAAGAGATAGTAATAAGATAGAAAAGAACTAAAATGTCTATTATCAAATACAAAGAGACTTGAGAGTCTAGAACTAAGACTAAAATACAAGAAGGTGTTGACAAGAATAAAAATGGTTTCATAATTGTTTCTATATACATTAGCTAGTAAGGTCACATTGTTGCAAAGTTAAGTAGCTAACATATTATCAATATACTTCTATTTATTTTAATCTATTTTTATTTTAATTCTATTTATTTAGGTAAAATATGAATATATTACATCATCCTTCTTTCTTGTCAATAAAATATGAATATATTACATCATCCTACAAGGAGCCATCAAATTGCTTTATAAAGTTTTAAAAGTCAAAGATCCATTGAATGATATTAGTAACAAACTTGACTCTATATTCTGCATAAAGGTGGTTGATAGGTCTCTTTAACCATTAATAATACTTTATATTAAGATAAAAATACTACTTATTTATTTAAATATTTTTGAGGCTTTAATAATTGGCTTTTAATAATACATTTTATAATCCATCAATCATAGTATCCATCTCCAACAATATTACTAAGCATTTGGAGACTCTTCTAAAATTGTGGTACAAAATAAATTATATCTTGCTATTTATCTAAGAAAGAACATGTCTTTCTTGAAGAGCGTTATTACAATTGAAACATTGTTTAGATTGACACAAACTAAGTGCTTTATTTTGCAATTTTAAAAATGACAATTCTTGAGATGAATCTACTAGCTCTTGATTCTCTATATTTGTAAAGAAGTTTTTCAAATTCATTCTTGATTTTTTTAATTTAATTTAATTTAATTAATTTATTTATTTATACTATTAAGTTGTCAATTGTTGGTCTTTGATTTTAATAGATGTTATAGATGAAAAGCAACAATAATCTTTGAAGCATTTTTAAGATTTTAGGATGGCTTCATTATGCATTTGCTAATATCACATGCAATAATGTACAAGAAAATCTATTTTTTTAAAAAAATTCATTTATATAATCCAAATTATTATATAATTTTTTATTAATTACAAGATAGTTGTCTAATTGTCTTGGTGATAATTAATAGTGCATTACAAATAATGCTTCAATATTTAATTTATATTTTTAAATTATATATATTAATTTGAGGATGAAAAGTTAAAGAATACTTGATATTAATTCTTAAGTATCGTTAAAAAAATAATAAGAAATAGGATTATCAATTAAATATAATATCACTTGGATATCTAAGAAAAATTTGGATGATTTTTTAAAAGTAGTAGTTTTTTTGCATGGTATAAAATATGTCATCTTAATTAGAAAAATACAATATTAAAAAAAATACAATTGTAAGAATTTGACATTGGAAGATTTATAATAAAATCAATTCTAATGAACAACTAAGATTTATTAAGAATAGATAGAGATTGAAGAATTCTATAGAAATAATGATGTAGAATCTTTGCTTTAGAATAAGTATCACATCATTGAAAAAAACAAATTTTGGCTTTTTAAAATTTTTGAGGCCATACATAATCTCTTGCAATAAGTATAATTCTTTTTATATTTAAAGCGTCTTATTGCTAAAAATTCATATTATACTTATAGTGCATATAGTTCTATCATAAATATCCTTTTCATCTTTATTCTACTCCAATTCATCTTTAAAAGCTAATTTTGTAAGTACAAGAATACCTTAAGATAATATTTTGATAAATATTTTATAATAATTTATAAAGCTTAAAAAAATAGACATTATATATTTTTATTAGAATTTTCTAAATAAAAACACCTTATACTTTCTTAGTTTATATTTTTTGAAACCATCTTTTGAAATAATATATCCCAAAATTCAACTTGAATTGTATAAAATACATAATTTTCTACCTTAGTATATAATCTTATATTCCTAAGTTTTTTTAGTATAAAAAAGGGATGTTATTCATCTTCTTTTGTATTTGTGGAATAAATAAAGTTATTTTTTAAGTAACATACAACAAAGTTATCTATAAATTTAAGAAATAAATCATTCTTAAAATACTAGAAAAGAGCTAAAGTATTTGTAAATCCAAAAAATATGATATTATATTCAAAATAGTTATGCCTAGTTTAGACTCTAGTCTTCTATTTATCTTCTTATTTAATAATTACCAAATTATAGGCTCCTTATAGATATACCTTGATATAGGCCTTAACTTCACTCAATTAATAAAAGATTCCAAATATCAAAGATAAAGAATAATAAATCTTGATGGTTAATTTATTGAGTCTAGAGTAATTTACATGTATTTGCAAAGATCTATCTTTTTTATTCATAAAGAAGATTATTTTACTTTTAGAAATTTTTGAATATCAATTTTTTTTTTTTATAATATTTTTATTAATACATTCTTTCAAATTAACAAGATTGTTTTACAATGAGTTGTAAACTAGTCAAATGGTAGTTGATTTTTTTCTTGAAGATTGATTCTACAATCATAAGATTGTCACTTTGGTAATACATTAATATGGAATGATCTTGAAGATAAGGTTAGATATTAGATATCTTAAATATTAAATCTTTGGTCTATTAATTAAATACAATAATACTTGGTGATTGATATAATATATAAAATGATTTGCTAATAAATAATAACAAAAATTTGAATTGAATAAATCATTATCAATGCTTCTCTTTTTAGAGTACTGTAATTTTTTTTAGCTTGATTTAGCAATTGACTTTCATTATAAATTAGTGAGTCTAATTTTTTGGTAATATTTTGGGCCAAAATACTACCAATTGCTTCATTCAAAGCATTACAATGTACATAGAAGTTTTCATTTCATTGTGATATAATTAAAATTTAAGAAAATTTTAATTTTATTTTTAAAATCTCAAAGGGCTATTGATATTTTGTGGTCCATATATATTTAACACTAGATTTTTTTAAGTTTGTCAAATTTTGTAATATATTTGTAAAATTGTGTATAAATATTTGGTAGTAACTAGTAGAATCCATGAATTCTTATTATTGTATTTTGTGAAATTTGCTTGAGAATGCATTAGGCACATGGATGTAGAAGGTAAAATAGAACTTGCAACAAGATGATCCTAACAAGTTTAATAGAATTTTAAATAAATTATAATTAAATTATAACAATGCTAATCAATCTTTAATTAAATTTCAAAAAAGTCTTAAGAATTTACAAAAAAAACATAAATAAATTATAGATTAATCTTAAAAAAATATATATAATAAAAAAATATTAAAAAAATATCAAAAACAGAAATCATACTTGAATTCTAACCAAATCCTAACATAATTCTTAATAAATTCTAATAAAATCTTAAATCAATCCATACAAAATCTTAAATAAAATTCTAATAAAATCCTAAATCAATTTTAATCAAGCTCTAAAGAAATCTTAGACCAAAATCTTTCAAATTCTAATCAAATCATAAATCCTAATTCTAATGAAATCCTAATGAAATTCTAAATCTTAGACTAAACTTAATCAAATCTTAAATTATAAATTCAATCCTAATCAAATTCTAATAAAATCTTAATTTAATCCTAATCAAAAT